CTATGACCCTCGTCCAGTTGAATTTAGAGGCAATCCGGGATACCAGTCTTACTTTAGAAATGTGTGCTTGAATTACCCAGGTATTAGTAAGACTCCAATTTTTCAGCTGTATGAGCCTGTAAACATGAAAGCTTACAACCTGGACCATGACTATCTAAAAGACACGTTTAGTGAAAATCATTTGAAACTTTTAAATGTATCAGAAATTTCAGAGGAGAATGCACGTCAAGTTATGATAAAAACAGCTACACAAGCGGCCAACGACCTTTGGTTTGAGGAACGTTGCAAACGTCTTCATTCTTCGGTATTCGGGAGAATATGTAAAGCAACTGATCGAACTGATAAGGTGAAACTTGCTGACTTCTTAACAACAAAGGCACAAAAAATTAATGCCAAACCTATTCTTCATGGAAAAAAATACGAAAAAGAAGCTGTAAAGAAGTACCAGGAAATTTCGGGACGCACAGTTTACGATAGTGGAATTTGTGTCAGTTTGGACTCCCCTCATTTAGCAGCAACCCCAGATGGTATTATCGACGATGACACCTTGATTGAAGTTAAGTGTCCATATGTGGCTAGAAACAGTTTTATTTCCTCAAAAACAGTTCCTTATATCAAGCAGTCTGGAAGTAAATTTTATTTGAATAAATCCCATGACTATTACTATCAGGTCCAAGGACAACTTTACTGTGCAGAGAAAAATGAGTGTATATTTGTTGTGTATACTTTCAATGACTTTTTATTCTTTGCAATAGAAAGGGATGATAAATTTATTGATGAGATGAAGAAAAAATTGAATGAATTCTATGAAGATTTTTTTAAGTCTGCTCTATTGGAAAAAACTTTTTTGAAGACATATGATGGCAAATGTAGTTGCAATAAAGAAAAATGAAATAAGACTTTTTTCTCTTATTATGTCATTTTTAATACCAAGTTATGCATAAGATGGCACTATGCAATTCTTAAAATTACACAGCATGAAACAAACATAGATTATTTCTGAAGAAAGTTTTGTTTCAGAGCTATTCATAGGCTCAGTCAGAATTTTGAATGTTTTTGCAAGTCCAATGATCCTCTCAATGTGCACACGTTTGCTGGATATTTTTCGGTCCTCAATCACAGTAGCACAGGACATTCTGTTTTTCTTTTTGAAAAATGTTGGTGTATTTATTTGAATGTTCCTGTGTACAAACATATCCTGCACATTAAAACCTTTGTCCGCCATTATTGAATCTCCAGAATTGCACATTTCCAACAGCCTACTTCTTTCAACTATTTGACGGTCACTTGTGGATCCCCCATAAGCTGTAGAAATATAAGATGTTAATCCACCTGGTGTCGCTCCTACAAGAACTTTTACCGTGTTACGGTTTTTATAGGTAGAATACGTTGCTTGCTGTGGCTTTGGTAACTTTGGTCTTTTAATTGGACACTCTGTGCCATCTATTATCACTCTAGTATTTGGAAATTTTGTTTTAAAGTCTGATGGACAGTAATATTTAACAAGATACTTTGTAGGCCAAATGTCAATTTCCTGCCATTGCTTACTCATGAATAAAATCCATGTAAAAAATATATTTGATACAGTCTTTTCGGAAACTCCAAATAATCTTGAAAGTTCAAAATTGGTCGTATGGCGCCGTAACTTGCAGAGGACTAAGAAAAATTGGTCAGGAACACTAATGTTTGAAACCTTATGATAAATATAATTCAAACAGTGAGCTGCGGGTCCTAAGGTTCTTAAAACAAAATAAAATTTAGTTAGAGTTTCCAATCCAGTACAGAAATTTACTCCGGCATCATCATTTGTAAAGTTTTCAATACTCATTGGGGGATACCGAGGAGTTTGTGTCTCTACATCAAAAAATTTAACGTCAGATTTCTGAACATTGACTTGAATTTCTTCAGCCAAAATTTGGGTAGAGCTAGATACAGTTTCCTCGGATACATGCAGATCATCAGCTGATGTATAGAAGACTTCATCTACGGAAGACGAAGCAGAAAATTCTTCTGCTAGTTTTCGTTTGATGCCTCTGGACTTGGCGCTGTCGGCTCGTTCATGTGAATGTGGACTTGGCTCTACCCAGGGAAAAATGCTTGGCACTGCAGTTTTCTTCAATCTTTTACTTAAAGGAGTAGTTCCTAAGAATTAAATCATTTATATCAATACTTGTTCATAGTTCTAGATTATTTATTAAAGAATTAATTTATAATTTAAGAACTAAATTTTAAAGCAAATAAAACAAATATAAATTTACTAAAATATTTTTATTATTATTATGAAATTGATGTTATAAAAAACATGCCATGTGTTTATTAATTCAACTAAACAGGTCAAATTTGTTTTTAAGCAGGGTGCTAATTAGACATCAATGTCAAAACACAGTATCTTGTACTGGTAGATATGCATAAATTATCAGGCAACAGCATGTGTTCTTTTAGACATGCCTTGTGTTTATATTGTTAAGAGATAATGCATTTTGTAATAAATGACCAGTAATTGAAGTTGTCAGTGGGGAGTCTGCATGTGGCAGTGTCTGTAACGTTATCAGATTACTTCGTATGAGAGGTAAACAAGGGATTCGATATTTTAGTGCATTTCATCTAAGCAAATAAGGCATAAATATTGCTCAGAATAAAATCTATTAACATTACTTTGCACATGCTTATCAAAGATTTCAAAATAAATAAATAAATATTGTTACCATGCTGGGTTTCAGTCAAATAGTCGTCTGATTTAAACTAAAATGTGCTCTGCAAACAACAGCATGAGTTGACGGAGTCCAGCTTTGAAAACGAGTTTCACCACGTTTTATTGCGTGTATCCATGCTTTTCTTCTTAACGGGTCTGTTGGAAATAGATGGCCACCCCGATTACTACAATTCGGCACACAACAACAAGTTTCAGGCATGTTTTACGGGCACGTGTTTGACAGCAGATTGTTTACGTTTTTCTTCGATCGGTAACTACAGATAAGGCGCGAGGGTGTTCCGATACAGGACCGTGTTTGCCTGTGGCGCCCTCTAAAGAAAAGATAACCGGAGCAGGTTCCTAATTCAGCCGATCAGGTAACGTCTACCCATTTAGTACTCTTTCCCTATATAATACCACGCGGTACTTCCACAACAACCAAATTCATCGTACCCGATATTAAAATATACTAGGGGGAAAATTATATATGGAAATACAGTACTTTAAAATTTGAATGCAGCTTGTTTTTACTGAACAGTTAGTTTACTATAATTAATTTAACTTTCTTTTTCTTTTCTTTTACTTATTTTAACCGCATTTGATTAAGATGGACCTAACCCTAACCCTAACCCCCCCCCCCCCCCCCAAAAAAAGGGAGGGTGCAAAGGCCTCCAAATAATTAGTATTCTACCTTAATTCAAACCCAGTAAAACTTAAGATCCCTCCCTCAAAACTGCTAACATTATTTGCCTCGCACATATCTCCCTGGGGGAAAAATCACAGATGAACGTTAATTCGGCTTTTATTCAGTTCGCTCTACAACTACAATGCCTGCATGTTCGGGCACCTGTCATGGCCCCCGCACCATTCTTATTCCCTGTGTCAAAACGCCTAATACATTTAGGACATATGTTAGGTACCATAATTAAGACACTAACTAGGCTCCAAGATTAGGGCACTAATCAGGTTACATGTTTAGGGCCTTTCATACAAACAAATAAACTCTTTCAACCTTTATTTATAACAATAACATATTAACTTGTAAAGAAAAGATAAAACAAACAAACATTATAGCCCATAATTATTTACACACTTAATTGTCGGCAGAGTTCCCAGTTATTTTCAGATCATAACTAGGAGCACACGGCGCGTATAAACAATCGGAGGGGATGCTCATCCCTCCATGGCACATGATCCTATCGGCTTCTGATATATAAGAGGTCCATGTTTGCTCTGCTTCAAAATTTGTATTGAATGGACTTAAAACTGAGTTTAAATACTGTTCGTTATTAAAGAAGGATTTGGATAACAAACAAACAAACAAACAAACAAACAAAAAACAACAAAAAAAAAAACAACAACAACAACATAAAAAACATTGTTTACTTAAATACGCGTGCCACGCTAACTCTCGATTCCCGTCTACATTTTGCAACCATTTAATTCAATATAAATGGCTATTTGGCCATAAAATATTTGTTTAATACAAAGAAAAGTTCAGTGGTAATTGATGAACTCCAGCTCTTGAAAAAAAAAGGGGGGGGGGGGTTAGACGATATTTTCCATTGAAATCAGACTTTCAAGCATCACCATATTTTGAAATAGTCTTGGATATTATTAAATTTACTTATATCTGTTCTTATAATCTAGGCAAATAAATAAAACATAAATTTGTAAATAAAGTATAATGTTTCAGTTGTAACTCGCTTTGAAATTGGTGGAAAATAAGCATTTTGTCGTTTGTTGTCAATAAACCCCCCCCCCCCCGTGACATACAAAAAGCTTTGGTATGAATTTGTAAAATAACAGTCCTTATTACCTGTAAAAAGGAATTTTTGTGTCTCCGGGGGGGGGGGAGATGTTTTAAAAATATTTTCCTGATTTCTATAGTGAAAAACATGAGTTTTACCCAAATTTTAGAGTTATATCTCTTTGTTTTCCCAAATATGTAATGTTTTAAGAATCCATATAAATATCTATAAAAAAAAATATTAAAATTTACCAAATATGTTAACTTTGAAAATTGACTTGGGGGTAGGCGGGAGAACAATACTCTTTAGCCTTCCGTTCAGGTGAGCTGAGGCGCCGTCGCGCACTGTCTTACTTTCATTTTCTCCTCACAAATTTACGACAACATATTTTCAATGCAGACCAAAAAAATCTTTCATAAAACAAAACTCTATTCCAGTTTCCTATATTCTGACATTTATTGATAGCAAGTACGACCTCGAAATCAATTTATCAAAAAGTGCTAAATCTATGTTATTTAACTATTTACGACATGCCAAAAGTCAATATTCTTTCAGCGATGGCGACGCTCGTGAATGTATTTTCGAAGGGCACTCAATTAAGTAAGTATATCTAAATAATGCAATTACTTTTATATGAAATCGTATGTTTTTGAAAACAGATGAGACATTTTAATTCTACTTTTATGCATTTATCAACCAAAAGCAGCACAAATGTTTGCAATCATGACTCTGAAAAAAGCCCAGGTCAAAGTCCGAACAATTCTCTAATATTTTGATAGGAGAAACTAGAAAATACGGTAAATGTTAAATGTAAATGTTAATTATTTTTCATCAGTCTTATAAATAAACTATATATCAGTTTTCATACATGAATAGAAATAATAATGAAAGACTTGGAAAAGTGACTAAATGGGTGAAATCATGTTACACAACCAAAGTTACATAAACAGTTTATAGTGAGTTATCTCCCTTGAATTTGCTTTTTTTAGTGTTAGTAGTCTACCCGTGGTCATTTACACAAAATGTTTTTGTGGAGTTATTCTATGGTTCTGGTTATTGATATTTAACTTTATATTTTAGGTAAGAGGATAAGGTGTCTGTATCGCTATGGAGAAAAATATTGCAGCAGCGTAGCAACACCTAAAATTACAACACATTACACAGTTCATCCAAGAGAAAATGATCCTCGCTGGAAAGGTATATTTATTGATAGATTAAACTGAAATGTTTGAACTCATTTCTTCTAGAGATACTGGGTGCAGTTGTTTTCCTGTTGCTTGGAGCAAGTGCAATGTAATCTCAGGAAAATAAGTTGAAATTCAATAAACTCAGTTGTACAGGAAAAATTAATAAAAGTAAGAAAGATATCTTTTCCTTTAATCTTCCCTATTTAAACCAGACATTTAAAGTTATCTGCAGTTGACTATAACATTTTGATTATTTATTCAGCTGAATATAACAAAAAACTTGTGAAATAATATATACCATTTCCTTAATCATGATAATGGTGGAAAGGTTGCCAGTGTTAAACCAAGACTTAAGGTTTGCTCAAATGAAGGACCCTCTTCCAAGGGAAGATGCAATAAACCCTCATTAATATCTCAAGGAACACTCATAGAAAAAGAAAAACTTATTCAATGCTTTTAGATGACCAGGGTGATATACTTCAAAAATAAGTGTTTGGGACTTTTAAAAAATCGCTTCAACATATCAGTATTCAAGATGATGAGATGTTAGTATAAATAGCAAAAATCTTTCCAAGAATAGGAAAGCCATGACTCATCATATTTAATGGAGGCATCCTCAGATAATGTCAATTCAAGTTTCTTCAATTCATGACATTCTGGGGGTAAGATGGGATACACTCAGCAATCAAAGTTTAGCAAGGAAATCAAAATCTTTGAAAACCTTTCTAAAGAATAGCATGGCTAAAGTAATTTAGGTGAGCACTGTGACCAATGGCCCCTTGTATGACTAGTTAAAATATTGTCTCTCTTGTCAGGGACCAACCTAGACCCGAAATTTAGGGAGACTTCACTTCTCCCTCAGAGAAATTTAGGGAGAAGTTTTGAAATTTAGGGAGACTTCTTGGCGCGTGTGACACTCACTGATCATTTTAAACTTTTAAAGATGAAACTACATGAATTTCATTGTTTATAACTTATTTCAATAATTTTTCTGTATTGACATCCTAGTAAAAATAATTAAAGAAAGAGAAAAAGAATCTGAATTTTTTTTCCCAATTACGAGGTATATTTAGCAAAAAAAAAAAAAAAAAAAAAAAACAACAACAATGACTATGTAAGTTTTTTTTTCTTTTCTTGCATAGTATGCACAGTTAACTTTAAAATTTTATCTTTTCATTTTAAATTTTCAGCTTCATTGCATAGTCATAATTTTGTTATTTTCTTTCAAAATTTGTTTTCAATATTTAATTTCTTTTTCTGAAAAAAAATTTGATGTACTACATACACATGCTGATTGAACTCTGTATATCAGACTGAGAGTGTAATTTCTTAACTGACAGTCAATAACTCCACAATTTAACAGTTAAAATATGTCTGTATTCACAGCATGAATTAATTATTTGGCAATAAAAAGATCTAAATTCATCTCCAACACCTTTGGCACGACATCGATAGCTGTCCAGCTGTTTTGCGTCTGGTTGTGCATAACTTGTAACAATGGACTTTTTAGACGGAGGCTGTATGACAGCCTCCGGGTATAGGGATTGTCTTGCCCATGGAATGTAAACAGGAAAGATTTCCCAAGCACCATCTATCGGCGGAATTGTTTTCATTACCTTGAGAATTCTATTTTTAGAGCGACTCTGAGTAACACCGACCGCAAGGATAGGCATAGTCTAAAACAAAGATCGCGTCACATACAAGTATAAACAAACAGTTCTACTTTTTCTAAATAAACAGGATTTGTCTAATATTTTTAAAATGACGTGTATATAAATACATTTCCTACGGAATATGTAAAAAAGAATGTGATTTACTGTTAATTTTTTATCAGACAGAATATTAGGAGATTTTGTTCCAACAGACGATGATAAAGCGCGTTTTACAATATGCCGAGCCTTTTCCCACCGATTCTCCCACCAAAACAAGAACGAGAAGAAATGTAGTGGCGGATCTAGAGGGAGTTTGGGGGGGGGGGGGGGTTAACATCCGCGGAGAGTGATCGAGGAACCCCACTTATCAATTGCTTCTTTTATTAAAGTAAAAACTATCTCTAGTTATAGATAAGTTTAAACTTTAGTTTTATATTTAATTGTAAAAACTTCCACCAGAATTCGCCTGTATCAAACTAAGTGTGGAGACGCAGATGTACCTGTATTATGTATTGAAGAAAATCCTGCAATGCCGCATGGAAATGTTTTATGTCGCAGGTATAAATATAAGATATTTTAATAATAGATCAAGCATTTCAGTTTTAATGGAATTTTTTGTGCTTGATTTCTGTTTGTAATCTCATTTTCACTCCTTTTCTAATTTCTTCTTGAAAGGGCCGATAAATTGGTTTGCGGCCGATTTTTGACTCTTGCATCAATAGGTTTCATGGAGTTTTTTAATCTGACAAGGATCGATGAATAAACAAATGCATAGTATTTTTATCTGTAGGAATATTAACAGTCTAGTTTTGAATTCTTTATTTGTAATTTTGTATAATTTCAGGAAACACATGAAAATAGATTTACACTTTCTACAAGCGGTTTGAGTGTTTGGGGTACCCTCACATTAGATAAGAGAGAAACAAACGGCAACTCTGATATTGAGATCAAAATGCATTTGTAACTTTTGACCCTTGGGTACAACCCAAATCTTGGTTCATAGGATTTACATGATTTATCACATTATATCCTAATTAATAATTAAAAATTATATTTTCTGAAATAAGTTGTCTTATTGTCATATCGTTGATCCTTATTTACATTTGATACTTGTGTTTTACCTCTTTCACATCTCAAACTTTAATTTTTTTTATATACAAGATTACATGTATTTCTGATCATTGGTATTCATGTCAACTTTTTTTAACCTACATCATTGGAGAAGTGATTGTTTGAACAGAGTTACTGAAAAGCAGAAATCATAGTTATATATTTATTACTTTTCTCTACGTAATTTGTAATCATGTCTCATTGTTAATGATTGTTTTAAACAGATAAACTGAAAAGGACAACCATTTCCACTGGTATACGAGTAAAGAAAGACATTTTTTGGGTTAAATCTGTCATATGATAAAATACTACATTTAATAATTCCAGAAATATTGGTTGTCAAATTTGTCAAGATATATCTTTGTTATTGTAAGCAATACCCCAGTTCTCCAAAAACAATTTAAACTTGTGAAATAGCAAGTGTTATGAACTTTATTGTTCTGTTTACTTTAAGTAAGAAAGTATATTTTATTCCACTCAAAAAAAATGTGTTCTGGCACGAACATTTATTGCATGTTAATGACTTTATATTACTTAAAGAAAATTCTGTGTTGCATCAAGCTAGGTCACTCCATTTTGTATCACAAAGGTTTAAGACAAACTGTACTATATTATGTTGTTCATGTCCAATTACCTGGCTGCTTCTTTTTCCATGTTAGCTCATATCATAACATTATTACAATAAGGCCGAGAAATTTTGATTTTGGTAGCTGTTACATGTCATAATTATGTTAACAGTAGGTCTCTGTGACCTATAAATAAGATATCTTGAAATATGGAAACTCCTGACTGGCTGAGGCCTAGTGCTGAATCCAGAAATTCTGAAAAAGGGAGACCAGTTTGAGGTCAGGGAAGGGGCCCACAGCCACAATTAAAACACTCATCAAATATTGCGTATTTTTTGGACTCAAAAGGGAGGGGGCCAGGGGCCCCTTTTAATTCCGCCAGTGGGCTCATGACTAGAACATACTAGACCTACATTCATCAAACTGGGCCTGGGGGCATACAACTTATATTAGACAAGCTCACTTTTGATCTCAGTCTCACTTTTCCACTATATATTCCTTAAGTGAGACTGGGATAAAAAGTTAGCCCGTCTAAGTTTTATGTCAACCAGGCCTAGTCAATTACTGTTTCTTACGTTGAAAGGTTTAATACTGAAAGTATCTCATCTAAATAACAGTGAACTTTAATCATGGCGAAGTTTACATTACAAAGATGAAATTATAATATCCCAAAAACCTCATGAATATTGGAGTATCCTTTGAAAAAAATGTTGAATTGAAAAAAAAACTACACATTATTTCTCAAAATATTCTTTACAGCTATGTATGATATATATATTTCTTTTGTATTCTCTCATACATGAAGCCTCCGTCTAACAGTACTTTCAGTACTTTGATTCATACCCGGAAGCGTAAAATCTAGAGGAGTTCCGACAGAGTATTCGATGCATTGGTCATTAGTAGCGAAACAGGTGCAAGTGTCCTGCTGTTTCGTTTATTTCAGCAGTAACAGGGCTCTCACACTATTTTTTGGGACTGGGGCCGGGGCCGTTCAAATTGGGAAAATTATCGTCATTTTGGGAAAAGTTGGATAACCAAAATTCATTTTAAAAAATCCTCAAATTTTGCTTTTCTAGCATATTTTGTCATCAATTTAACTCTGGTTTTGAATAAACAGTTAAATTTAAGTTTGGTATTGTGGTTATATGTCTTTCTGAGTGACAGTCGCTAGTCACATAGTCCCGAATTTCCTCGATCACATCGACATATTTGCTTACCAATATACAGTGAGAGACTGAACATGCTGAAGCGTCGGTATATTTCTAGGTGTAGCTTACTAATGTTTAAATGAAATGTCTATTTTTGAAACCAAAATGATGTTTTTTGTTGAAACTACATGACAAGATACTCTGCACTCAGTACATATTTTTGTAAAAACAATAACCTGGTTCCCCGAACCAGTTTACAAATGCATCTGGCGCGAACTAATAAAATATTAGTACAGTTTCACTTTGACTTTCATTTGCTGATGTGTTTTGTTTGGGTTTTTTTTTTTTGCGATTAAGTTTCATGGACTTTCATTTTTTATTAATATTTTGCGATGGAAATTGGGAAAATTACTCCTTTCTTTTGGGAAAAAAGGTACCTTTTTTGCATTGGGAAAGGGGCCGTTGAACGGCCCCAATTTTAGAGAATCGAGAGCCCTGAGTAATAAAACAAGATTTTGAAACTACTGAGGATTCTACCATGTTTCTTAATAGATTTTTTATGATTTTTAATAAAGGGGTTGCAAATCTTAGGGCGACTTAAACTTCGCTTTGGTGATAAATTACAGCGAAGTTTGGAGCCCAAAAGCGACTATTTCGCCTCAGTCGCCCCCTAGGTTGGTCCTTGTTTGTGAATACCTAATTACTTTCCCACAAAACGAAAATTTTGTGACTAGTATACAGACTGTCAGTATATTTATTTTTTATATATCTGTACATTTGATTTAAGTACTTCAAAGAATGCCATGTAATCTACGTTTTATATTACATGTGGATATTTGTTAGATGTGGATATGGAGAGGTTTGCAGATGAAGCTGATGTACTCATCGTCGGTGGAGGTCCAGCGGGGCTGTCAGCCGCATGTAAACTCAAACTCATGGCTAATGAACAGGGGAAGGAACTGAGGGTGTGCTTGGTAGAGAAAGCAGCTGAGATCGGTAATATCTGTGGTCTGGTGATTATATAATATTAATAATAATTACATGTGTATATGAAAATTACTGTGAATCAATCTAACCTATGTGATTTAATTGCACCATTGAAATATCTGAATATTCTTCTGCAGTAATTGTATCACAATTATCTATATGATTAATATACAGATAGTGTGATTTATTATAAATTTATATGTATATTGATTATGTTGATGAAATTGCATTTGACAATTGTGTTTGGCAAACAGATATACTGGGTGATATAAGTAAATTAGTAATTAGAAAGTAATTAGATATACTGAACAGACAGTCGTTTTGTACATTGTGTAAAGTACAAATGCATTCCTCTCGTTACATTGTTGTGTAAATTAAATGTAACAAAGCTAGTTACAGCATATTTTTGTCTATTTCATAGACGTTTTAGAAGTTCTACTTAAGCTGCATGTTTTATTTTAATACAGGTGGCCATACCTTATCAGGTGCTTGCATTGAACCAAGATCTCTGGAGGAATTGTTTCCAAACTGGAGAGAAATGGGAGTATGTAAATAGTTTTAAAAAAAAAAAAAAAAACAATAAGCAAGAGCTTGCATGATCTACTGTAAATGCAGATATAGGGTGAATTCACCATGCATCGGACAATACCTTGCTTCGGACAACTTTAGACAATAAATTCTCTTTCAACTTAAGAGTTCCGTATATTTATTTGTTTCTGTCTAGAAGCTGAAGATTTAAATTTCTTAATGACACCGATTGTTATTATTACATGTATGTTGTGATAAAAATACCCTGAGAATGGCCTTGAAGTTACGTCATATTTTACAATCATCAAAGGGGAATAACCAGAAATTTATGATTTTGCGATTTTTAGAGTTATCGTTCTTAAAATTCGACTTCAACGGAACGAGTCAGACTTTGGTAAATAAAGTCAAAGATTGGTAATTTTACATAAATTTTAAAGAAATTTCACTTCAGTGTTCGTATAATTCTTTATAGAGCTGGTTTTCACTAGTATGTTCATTTCTCCGTACATCGGACACAAATTAACCATGCATCGGACACTTTCCGATGCAATGGTAAGCACTACCATTTTCATACAGAACCCAGCTGATAACTGTTTTTTGCGGAAAAAGGAAATAAAAACTCTATATTTTCAGTCAAAATACAAGTTATCGATATACATGTATGACATCTGGAATTTGACTCAATTTATTTCTACAAACCAGAGTATGATAAACCATGCAAAAAGGGCGCGAATTACCACATTATAAGCATTTTAAAGCATTTCTAAGGCAGACTGAGGTCTCTTGAATCGTTCTACATTTGTGCAACGATATCGTCAATTAAATTTAAGTTGAGGGTTATTTCTTAGATAAAAGATAAAAATATATCCATATCAAGCATTTTAAAGCACTTTGATAAAGGTATGATAGTTTTCTGGTCAAAATATCGTCTGTCCGATGCATGGTAAACAAAGTCCGATCCATGGTGAATTTTGAGTTATCACCAAAAACTTGATTTTTGAGGATATTTTCTCAATAAAGGGCATATAATTGTGTCCCAAATTGATATTTAAATCACAAACTAAATGTTAAACTCCATTTTGATAATTTTCCGTCGGTAGCGATATCGCTAGAACTTGTTGAAGTACAAGGGTATCCGATGCATGGTGAATTCACCCTATTAGTTTTAGATTAAATTCTGTTAATTTGTGACATTTTATACCAGTACTTTAATTAAATTCCTAATGAAATCTTAGCCAGAAATTTACTTAAATCCCCATAAAATGTTCACTCTGATCTCACGGTTATTCTCACCACAATGTTCTGTACGTTTGTTACTTTTATTGACAGGCACCACTGAAGACTGAGGTGAAAGAAGACAAGTTTGCTTTTCTGACTGAGAAGGGAAGGATCCCTATCCCAGTATTACCAGGTATAGGAGGAGTACCTGTAATTATTGTTATCATGGAAATGTATAATGATGAAATGAAATGATTGTTATATCCTGCAAAAATAACTCAATTTGGAAATGTCCATTTCATTTCCAAACATCCAGTCATGTACATAACATTATTTATTCAACACATACATTGAATCACTGCACTGTAGAGTAAAATACAATTAAAAATAAATTATAGGAATGCCGATGAGTAACCATGGGAATTACATAGTGAGGCTGGGCAATGTTGTCAGATGGCTTGGAGAACAGGCCGAGGCATTAGGTGTGGAGATTTACCCGGGCTATGCTGCCAGTGAGGTAGGAAACTGAGAATGTGGTGTAGCTTGCGTATCTATATATACATATACATGTAAACAAAAAGAGAGGCTATCTTTACCTCATAAATAAATATCGTACATTATGAAATTCTATCTCATTTTAGTACCAAAATTTGAATGCTTAATAGAGCAGTGTATGTAGGATGTTAACTGATATGAATATCTGTCTGACATTTATCATTGGTTAAAGAACTGTACCTTATTTATAATGTCATCTAGAATTGATATTGATGCATTACTTGTGTTACATCTAGGTGTTATTTCATGAAGATGGTAGTGTGAAAGGAATAGCCACAAATGATGTAGGAATACATAAAGATGGATCACCAAAGGTAAATTTACAGACTGTCAACATTGCAAAACATCAAACTGTTTGTAAAGCATTCCTGATAATGTTTTCAACTAATTTTAGGAAACTTTTGAAAGAGGTATGGAACTCCATGCTAAAGTGACAATATTCAGTGAAGGATGTCATGGACATTTAGCAAAACAGTTGTACAAAACCTTTGATCTCAGGAAAGATTGTGAACCACAGACTTATGGGATAGGATTCAAAGAATTGTGGGAAATAGACCCGGCACTTCATCAGCCTGGGCGAGTAGAGCACACAGTGGGATGGCCCTTTGTAAGTTTCCTTCTCTGCAACAACAGCAAAATTCATCTTGATTCTCAAATTTCTGCTAAAATTATTAAGAAAGGTACTTTTTAAATTAAAAATAGAATAATTAACACACATGTAAAACAAGGTTAAAAGATATTCTGTCATATTTGCATGACTTCAAAACGTTTATGTTACATGTACATGTATATCACAACTGCAAATTGGGTATTAAATTCTCTATCTCTTCCTCTTTACACACACAAGTTTGACTTTCCAGAAAGCCTTGATTTGGTTGTAAGAATGTCACTATTAGAATGAAAAGTATAATGCATCTTTTTTTTCAGCTCATAACCACGGTGAATATTTTACATTGTTGAATTCGAAGAAGGGTTTTTGAGACCATTTATTAAAATGAAGAAACATTTTGAAGAGACAACACAAACAGTCAATCTTTACTTTTACTATATTGCTTAAACCAGGAGATTGCTATAAGCCCCATGTCCCCTTCTGTCTTCATGTTAGCAGATGCTTGCTCTGACAACTGTCCAGAAGTCTCAAAGCTTCGACAAGTCCTTCAGCGGCTTTCAGAAGCTTTTTTCTTAAATGTATTTCTCTAAAGTGACCTGGCCACAGAGCCACCCGGGATATAAAGGTAGACCTGGGCCACCTCTAAGCCATAAACTTTTGCTGCTCAGTTTCCAGTTATAGCGATATGTATGTCACTAAAATTCATCACATTAGTAGACACTACTAGGCAGGAAAATATGTGTAGAGTGAATAAAGCAAGTTGTATTAAAACAGTGTGGTCTGTCAGTGGATCACTGTTTATTTTTTCCCTAGAGCTACATATATGTAATCATTTACAAAAAAAAATGTTTCTGTTACTTACCCGGTATATTATAGAAATTTCAACATTAATTGTACAGAGTTACCAGTCATTAGTGCCAGACCATCAGCAAGTATAAAGAAGTTCATACTCAGCAGTCTTTATCTGATTTATTTTTGCCACACCACCAGCTAATAAATGGCAGCTTACAGAAGATACTTACTTCTGGCTTTCAATATCAGTGCATCATCCCGCTTGGGAGAATATAATAAGATATACTATATCTCTATGCTGGGATACACATACACATTTTTTAGCCATTTTAGGATAGAAATACATTGTATTGTATGATGCAAATGCCATACTTAAGCTTAAGGATTTCTGAAAATATTTCTACATTAAAATTCTGTCTGTAACTTATGACATCACTTGAAACAAATTAAAACCTTTTTACACAGGTAAAAAAAAATCTTTTTCCCGGAACATTTATTATTTGATATCTCATGGTTGACAAATGCATTCATTTCTTTGATGCCATTGTAATGGAATACAGATGTATGATCAGTAACATGTTTATCAAGTTTGACGTTGTCCTTTACAGGGCTAGATTTTTTTTTGTTGCAACAAAATTTTTTGACACCTGGGTATAATCCGAAATGAGCTCTTGCCATCAAAATATTTATATCTATTAAATGTATTTTTAACTTACAAGTGATGTTGTTTGGGTTAATAAGTTATTTTTAATGTTTCAGGATAACAGGACATATGGAGGGACATTTCTGTATCATTTAGATGAAGGTCCCCTCATTGTTGTCGGGATTGTGGTAAGTACACATGTACCGACGTTTTTTCTAGCCTCATGTGTATCAATTAGATTCACTTTTTTAACATTATTCAAATTGAATAGAAGGAATTCTATGATGAAAATAATACTGTACTAAAAATATTTATTCAAGTGTGCATTATACTTATCTATCATTTCATCTTCTGTAATTCATATAATTATAAATGACTTAAAAAAAAAATTATCATACTGTCAATATTGCAAATTCCATCGTTGACATTTAGGAATGTCAAGCCCAGTTATGAGAAGAGTACATACATATGTATTTATTTTCATGTACTACCAGTAAATTTGTCTGTGTTGCTTTGCAATGGACTGTTCTTCCATAGTAAAATAACTGTTTTTTACAGGTTGGACTTGACTACAGAAATCCTTATTTAAGTCCATTCAGGGAATTCCAGCGATTCAAACACCATCCCTCTATTGAACCTCTATTCCGCTCTGGTAAAAGGATAGGATACGGTGCACGTGCACTTAATGAGGGAGGTGTTCAGGTAATGTGATAATACAGTCAAATAAATGTATTACTTATATATATGTAGATACAGAGTTATAGTGTAAATGTTATTAGAGGAATTTCATGATTCAGACCATAAATAGGCCTATAAACTCACTAATAAACATTTATTTACTGTAGTCCATCCCCAAGCTGTCTTTTCCTGGAGGATGTCTGATTGGGTGTAGCCCGGGCTTCATGAATGTACCCAAAATCAAGGGAACCCACAACGCCATGAAGAGCGGCATCTTGGCTGCCGAGTCAGTGTTTGAACTCGTTACTGATGAGGAAAAAGTTTCACAATCACCAACAACAGGTACATGTAATGGAGAAAGGATGGGTTTTACAGAAGAGAGTTTAAGAATCTTGTTAGCTTCAACATGATAGTCATTGATATCTGTATGAGAAATTCAGTTTCATGTATGAAACATCTTCTCTAACAGGATTAGAGCCAGTGAAGTACGAGGAGAATCTGAAGAACAGCTGGTTGTGGAAGGAGCTTTATGCTGTCCGCAATGTTAGGCCTTCCTTTAACACGAGTTTAGGAACCTTTGGAGGCGTACTGTATACTGGTCTGTTTTACTGGATAATGAGAGGAAAGGAGCCATGGACTCTTCATCATGGAGGTCAGTTTATATCGGAGTACTTAACGAGGCCCGATCTAGTTGATCTGCGCATACATTTTAGCGCAACGTCGACTCAGGCACGTCACAGTACCTGGACTGCCATCACAATTGAATACAATAACGTCACAATTAAATTGACGTCAAATTGCGCAAAAATGTTTTGCGGATCTTGCTCTATAGACTGCTTGATGAAAGCTGGCTCATTCTGGCTTTTTTTTTATTTACTTACATGTTTTTAGAAAATATTTTTTTAGATTAATAAACAACTTTGAAACATAAGAACTGGGTACGGTATGTATAACGAGGCGGCCCTGTCTCTAAATCTGACTGAAGTTTTTTTACAAACATGTCCACGATGTGTCCTTTCAAAATCATTTTATTTTTTGGAATTATCTCTTACCGTTTTTCCGCCAGAGGTTTGGGAAAATGGTGCATTTTCTTCAATAATTCCAACTTTTGACGTAACGACGTCATCACGACGTTACTGATTTTAACGTTACGTTAAATGAAATCTGTAAATTCTTTTAACCGAGAACTATATACTTAATCTTACAAATATTCCAGTAAACCATTTTGAACTATCTTTCAATTCATCGTACATCGTTGATAGTTTGAAATAGTTTAATATATAATTTTTTAACAAACGATTGTACCAAACACGCTAGTCTACGAAACTTTATTCATCCAGATGAAATGAGGTGAGTACTTAAAAAATTGAACGTATAGTTTATGAAGTTGGAATTTTTTTTGGCAATGAAAAAG